GATGAGCAGGTAAAACTTGGGGCACTAGACTTCCCAAGTGTTACCTCTGCAGCAAGCAGGCTCTGTCCATTTACAATGCTGTGTTATACAACAAATAGTATCATGCACCAGTTGGGTCATAATGTGAAAAAGAATGAGGCACAGCTTTAGAGAGTGAGAATTTCTGGTCCTAATAAAGGAGTAAAAAGATCATAAAGTTTGAGAATATTGGTTCAAGAAATGACTACGAAGAGCCACTTACCCTAGAAAAGTGAAGATTCATCCTGGACTCTCCAGTGGAAAAACAGTTTGCATACGGAATAAAATCATATCACCCATTCCTTCAAAACAGACTTAATGAGTGCTATGGTTTGAATATGGTTCCCTCCAAAGTTCATGTTGACACTTAATCCCCAATGTGATGGTACTGAGAGGTGGGGCCTTTAAGAGGTGATTGGATCATGAAGGCTCTATTCCCATGAACGAATGGATTCATGGATTCATCCTGGAAAACCAGCTGCCTTTTTTTTTTTTTTTTTTTTTTTTTTTTGAGACAGCCTTGTTCTGTTACCCAGGCTGGAGTAGGGTGGCACAATCTTGGGTCACTGCAACCTCCACAATTCTCGTGCCTCACCCTCCCAAGTGGCTGGGATTACAGGCATGCATCAAGTCCAGCTAATTTTTGTATTTTTAGTACAGACAGGGTTTCGCCATGTTGCCCAGGTTGGTGTTGAACTCCTGACCTCAAGTGATCCACCCACCTCAGCCTCCCAAAGTGTTGGGATGACAGGGGTGAGCCACTGAGCCCGGCCAGAACTGGCAGTTTTATAAGAAGAGGAAGAGAGACCTGAGCTAGCATGTGAGCATGCTCAGCTTCCCCACCATGTGATGCCCTGCATTGCCCTCAGAACTCTGCAGAGTCCCCACCAGCAAGAAAGTCCTCATCAGATGTGGCCTCTTAACCTTGGACTTCCTAATTGAAAGAAATAAATTCATTTTCTTTATAAATTAGGTATATTTAGTTTCAGTTTCAGGTATTCTCTCATAAGCAATAGAAACCAGACTAAGGTCATGAGCACTCACTCTGTATCCATTCTGCAACACAGAAGTAGGAGTAATTGTCAGGTGGTTCCTTGTCTCAAGGAGCTCCCCCTATAGAGAGGAGCCAGACAGACAAACCAAGGACTATCATACAGCAAACTGATGTTCAGCCCCCTGGGTACGTCATTTAGGAGTACTTTCAGCGGCAAGTAGGAGAGTTACTCTGGCTAAAACAGGGTCATTTACCTTGACCATTCTCGCATGCTTGTCATCTGATGATGGCAGAAAGGCTGCCCTAACTCCAGGTATCACACGTACAGTCAAAGTACGAAGAAAGGAAAAAGGACATGGATCATTAGCTTTATTTTCCTAACTATTGAGGAAAGCAAAAGACTTCCCAGAAGCTCCAACACATTTGGTTTCAGCTCATTGGTTAGAACTATGTCACACGGCACCCCAGGCTGCCAGGGAAGTTGCAAACATGAATATCTCACCTAAGGCTAAACCGACTAACAAAATCAAGGTTCCATTAGCACAAAAGGTACTGGATATTGAGTATGCAGTTAACAGTGCATGGAAGAAATGCAAATTAGTCAGGTGCACTGACTCATGCCTGTAATCCCAGTGCTTTGGGGGCTGAGGTGGGAGAATCACTTGAGGTCAGGAGTTCAAGACCAACATGGTGAGACCCCATCTCTACTAAAAAATTAGCCGGGTGTGGTGGCGGGTGCCTGTAATCCCAGCTACTCGGGAAGCTGAGTCAAGAGAATCACTGGAACCTGGGAGGCAGAGGTTGCAGTGAGCCGAGATAGTGCCACTGCACTCCAGCCTGGGCAACAGAGCAAGATTCCGTCTCTCTCTCTTTCTCTCTCTATATAATTTTTTTCTAATGCTCCGTCGTCACCCATCCACCAGCCTAGGTGACAGAGCAAGACCCTGTTTCTAAAAAAGGAAATAAAGAGGTATCAATGGCCTCACTAAGATGGTGGCAATGACCACCTATTACTCCACAAATATATAATGACCTACAACATGTTGGGCACTAGAGATAAAAAGGTAAACAAAAATAAGACTGCTTCTGTCCTCGTAGTCTTTATCTCCTGGTCAGAAAGATGGATATTATTCAAATAATTAGGCATGCAAATAAATTTAGACAATGAATGTAATGGATGATGCACGGGTCTAAGAGGCAATGAGGCTTTATAAAAGGACAACTTGACCTAGCTTGGGGCAAGAAAGGATTCCCTAAAAAGTGATGCTTTGGACTGAGATCTGAAGGATGAGTAGGAGTTGCTAGGCAAGGTAGACTACAAATTCAACAGCTGACCAGCATGGTGGCTCATGCCTGTAATCCCAGCACTTTGGGAGGCCAAGGCAGGGATTGCTGGAACCAAAGAGTTCAAGACCAGCCTAGGCTACATAAGGATATACCATCTCTATAAAAAATAAAAAGTTAGCCAGGTGTAGGGGCACACACGTGTCATCCCAGCTACTTAGGAGGCTGAGGTGGATCACTTGGTCCCAAGCAGTTGAGGTTCCAATAAGCCATTGTGCCTCTATACTCCAGGCTGGGGAACAAAGTGAGATCCTGTCTCTCCCCCTGCCCCCCAAAAAAAGCATGGCATGCATGGAGTGTGCACAAAATGAAAAAATGAGAGGGAAGTATAAGATGAGGCTGGAAAGGTAAGTAGGGACTAGACCATAACTGAATTCAAGAACTATTAGTTGATGAAATTGCAAGGACATATTCAAGGTAGTAGAAACGATGTATAAAGGAAAGAGATAAACACGATTCTCAGATTTTTAGCTTCTGCAACTGGTATAAGAAATAAATGGAGGCTGGGCACAGTGGTTCACGCCTGTAATCCCAGCACTTTGGAGGACAAGGTGGTCAGCAGTTTGAGACCAGCCTGGCCAATGTGGTGAAACCCCGTCTCTACTAAAAATACAAAAATTAGCTGGGCATGGTGGTGGGCGCTTGTAATCCCAGCTACTCAGGAGGCTGAGGGAGGAGAATCACTTGAACCCAGGAGGCAGAGGTTGCAGTGAGCCGGGATCACATCATTGTACTCCAGCCTGGGTGACAAGAGCAAAACTCCATTTCAAAAAAAAAAAAAAAAAAAAAAAAAACGAACGAACGAACGAACGAAAGAAAGAAATGGATCAGGCTGGGCACAGTGGCTCACACCTGTAATCCCAGTACTTTAGGAGGCTCAGGTGGGCGGATCACTTGAGGTCAGGAGTTGCAAACCAGCCTGGCCAACATGGCGAAACCGTCTCCACTAAAAATACAAAAATTAGCTGGGTGTGGTGGTACACACCTGTAATCCCAGCTACTTGGGAGGCTGAGGCAGGAGAACCACTTGAACCCGGGGGCGGAGGACGGGGGTTTCAATGAGTCGAGATCGCACCACTGCACTCCAGCCTGGGTGACACAGTGAGAATTCATCTCAAAAAAAGAAAAAAAGGCCAGGTGTAGTGGCTCACACCTGTAATCCTAGCACTTTGGGAGGCTGAGGTGGGTAGATCATGAGGTCAGGAGATCAAGACCATCTTGGCTAACCCCGTCTCTACTAAAAAACCACAAAAAATTAGCCGACGATGGTGGCAGGTGCCTAGTCCCAGCTACTGGGGAGGCTGAGGCAGAAGAATGGCGTGAACCCGTGAGGTGGAGCTTGCAGTGAGCCGAGATCGTGACACTACACCTCTAGCCTGGGCAGCAGAGCCGAGACTCCATTTCAAAAAAAAAAAAAAAAAAAAAAGAGGCCGGGCGCAGTGGCTCACACCTGTAATCCCAGCACTTTGGGAGGGCAAGGTGGGCAGATCATGAAGTCAAGGGATTTAGACCATCCTGGCCAAAATGGTGAAACCTTGTCTCTACTAAAAAAAAAAACAAAAATTAACTGGGTGTGGTGGTGTGCACCTGTAGTCCCAGCTACTCAGGAGGCTGAGGCAGGAGAATCGCTTGAACCCAGGGGTTGCAATGAGCCGAGATCACACAACTGCACTCCAGCCTGGCTGACAAGAGGGAAACAGGAAGGAAGGGAAGGAGGGAAAGAGGAGGGACAGAGGGAGGGAAGGAGGGAGAAAGGGAGGGAGGGAGGAAGAAAGGAAAGAACCACTGGGCACAGTGGCTCACACCTGTGATCCCAGTACTTTGGAAGGCCGAGGTGGGTGGACTGCTTGAGGCTGGAGTTCCAGACCAGCTTGGCCAACATGGTGAAATCCCATCTCCACTAATAATACAAAAATGAGTGGGGTGTAGTGGCACACGCCTGTAATACCAGCTATTTGGGAGGCTAGGCAGGAGAATCGCTTGAACCCGGGAGGCGGAGGTTGCAATGAGCCGAGATCGCGCCACTGCACTCCAGCCTGGCGAAAAAGCAAGACTCATCTCAAAAAAAAAAAAAAAAGAAAAGAAAAAAGAAATAAATGGAAAAACTTTAAACTATAGGAGACAGAATCCAAAAATACCATGTAGTTGGCTGGATGGCCAAGGGTAAGGAATAAATTCAAGAGTGAGACATAAATTTCTGGTTTAAGTAATGGGTAGATGTATTATTTAGCCCTAGGGAATGCTGGAGACAGAGTGGGTATAGGAGTGTAGAAAGTTAATTAATTTAGGTTTAAGAATAAAAGTTGGTATGTCTGTAGCCAGTAGGTCTAGTATTCTTGAGGCAGATCCCAGTGAGAAAAATATTTCGTTATCATTAGGATATACTCAATGACTGGAGCCATAGGAGTGATTTAGATCTATCTATACATATCTATTCTTCTATATTCCCATACTAATTGACTCCTTGCTTCGAGAAAAGAAATTAAACAATCTTTTTTTTAAGTAAAATAGAGACGAAGTCTCACTATGTTGCCCGGGCTTGTTTTAAACTCCTGAGCTCAAGTGATCTTCCTGCCTTGGCCTCCCAAAGTGCTGGGATTACAGACATAAGCCATTGTGCCTGGCCTCTTTCTAGCCCTTTTTATTTTTTTTTTTTTTTTTTTTTTGATACAAACCCACTTTATTCAGCATTGAGCCAGCCCACACGCTGGGTAGGTCAAACTCACAGATATCACACCAAAGGCCGGGGACTCGGAAGGGCTGAAAGGCTTCATCTGGAAACAGGCACTGCTCACAAGCCCAGCTATACCCAAATCTCAACATCTGCCTGCATCTATGTCCCCGACTTTGCAATCCTGTCCCCAGTGCTGAGTTTCTGTCGACTAATTTATCTACACACAAGGATGCTGCAGGCAATTGAGCTACTGCTACGAGCTTTGAAAAATTCAACTACTAAAGGAAATGGGAAGAGAGAAAGAGCCAGAGAGAACAGCAAGATGAGACACCATGGCAGGACCTGGAGAGGCTAAATAGGGTTAGCCACCTGCCAGCCCCTTCATCCAGGGAAACTGAGAAAGAGTTCCTTCTGCGGAGGCAGGTAGAGCACAGGGAGGGCTCCTGGGAGACACAGAAGCAGGGTTGGGGCCAGAAAGAGGGAGGTGGACAGAGCGACACTGATAAGGCTGGGCGGGGCGCACGCCCACCTCAAGAGGAGGGCCGCCTCCTAGGAGGCATCAAGGTGCAATTATCTTCCTTTCTCTCTTCCCTGAAGACCTGAGTTCCAGCCTTCACAGAGCCTCATGTGCGTTCTTCTGGATGCTAACCCCAAATTCGACACTCAATGGTGCACCTCAGGTACCTGCCAAGGATCTGTGGGCCCGCATGGAAGGTGCAGGGTCTGGGTCCCTGGATGACAAGGTGAGGGGCAGATGGGTGACCAAGGAAGGGCATGGCCCAGAGCTGCCGGGACTCATGGAAGATGGGCTGTGGCCAGGACTTCAGGAAGGGTCGCACAGGTCGGAAGGGTCCTCAGGTCCAGCCTCTACCAGGAGGTGTTTGAAGCCCCCAAAACACTCACACCTCAGGGTGAAGGATAAAGGCACATTGTTGAAACACACAACTATATAGATGGACCCAAGGCCGGGCGCCTTCCACACTTCCCTGACAGCCACATGCTGACACTTCCCAGGCAGATGAGGATCCATCCTCCTGCCTCCAGCTCTGGGACTGCCGCGGGTTGGCGCCATCACTGCAGCAGCATGCTGAGGCCCAGGTTCCGGTGCTTCGTCTCCAGCTCCGACACTGCCTGCAGCAGTGACCTGAGCAGTGACCTGAGTGAGGAGGAGGAGGGGCTTCTCAGCCTCCTGCAGGAAGTGCTGCTCCTCCTCCTCCGCAAAGAAGGCCCGCAGCTGCTTGTAGTTGGTCAGTGCGTTCTTCCTACGGTCCATCACGTGTCCCTTCCACACTGCAGCTGCTGACTCCGCCTGGCCATGCAGATCCCAGGCGTCATTCAAGTCCTTTCTCATGATTTCCACAGACCCCTTGTTCTCCTTGCCACGCAGCACCTTCCTGCAGCGCGGCTCCCACTCGGGTGGCTAGGGGCCCACAGCCATGCGGCAGGCGGCGCAGAGCGGGCCGGGGTCAGCGCGGCTGCAGCTCGGCCTCACTGGCCCGGCCATCGCGCGCGGGCGCCGCGGCCGCCTCCTCTAGCGCCAGAAGGCGGTGGCTGAGCGGGAGCCGGCCGGGCTCCACGGCGCGCTGCCAGCAGTCGTCGGCGCACTCTGGGCACGCGAAGGGCCCATCCTCCTCGGCCCAGAAGCGCACCATGCACGCCCAACAGAAGCGGTGGCCGCACTCGGCGCCCACCGGCTCCCGGGGTCGCAAGCGGCCTCGGCAGGGCCCGCAGGGAGCGCCAGGGCTGCGGGGTCGGCAAGGGTGCTGGAGCGCCTGGGGAGGGCCGGAGACCAAGGCGACCAGCGACCGGTCGGAGACCAGCACCAGGACGACGACGCCGACGCCAACGCCAACGCTGGGGACGCTCATCTAAATCTTAAAATGGTTAAAAAAAAAAAAAAAAAAAAAAGTAATTTTTAATACTACCTTTTTATTTATTTTGGAGACAGGGTCTCACTCTGTCGCCCAGGGTGGAGGGCAGTGGCATGATCATTGCTCACTGTAGCCTCGACCTCCCGGACTCAAGAAATGCTTCCCACCTCAGCCTCCTCAGTAACTTGAACCACAGGTGTGTCCCACCACGCCTAGGCAATTTTTTTATTTGTTGTAGAGACAGATTCTCGCTATGCTTCCCAGGCTGCTTTTGAATGCCTGGCCTCAATAAATGTTCCTGTCTTGGCTTCCCAAGACAGGAAACATCCTTTTATTATTCATTTATATTTAAGAGATGGGATCTTGCTCTGTTGCCCAAACTACAGTGCAATGGCAAAATCATAGCTCATTACAACCTCAAAATACTGGGCTAAGAGATCCTCCCACCTCAGCCTCTAAGTAGCTAGGGTACAGGCATGAACCATGGTGGCTGGCTCAAAGTATCCCTTTAAATAGGAAGCTTAATTAATATAATTTCCATAATACATTTAAAAATGTTTAATTCATGCCTTAAGACTCCCCTTTAAAAATATATCTACTATATAAATGAAATGCCCACGCTAGTCTACTCAAATTCCTGAGGCTCAAGCAATCTTTCCTATCCTGGCCTCCCAAAGGTGCTAGGATAACAGGCATGAGCCACCACACCTGGCTAATATATATATATTTTTAATTTACTTTTCTTCACCAAAAACCCAATTGTAAGCCACTTCTTAAAAGCAGGACAATATATATCACGTAAGTATTGTGTGCATATGTACACAGGTACAAAGTGTACTATTAAGTAGCACAACTGAGATTTAAACCCCAATCCAGCTCCCAAGTTTGTACTGCTTAATCACTATTTTCCTCCATGAAAAATATGTAGAATAAGAATCAGATCTGCCAAGGAATACTAATATTTAAAGTACAGACAAGAATACAAAAAGACCTCAGCAAAACTGGAAAGGTTAGCCAAAAAAGAGAAAATAAATTTAGTGAATTTATCATATAACGCAAGTTGAAAATATTTCAGAGAACAAACTCTAATTTTTGAAAAAAGTTATAAACAAATGCACTTTATCAGTTGGACAGTTTTCATAGTGAATTTTTTCAATTTGCAACACAGGATTTTTCTCCTTGCCTGTAATCCCAGCACTTTGGGAGGCTGAGGTGGGAGGACTGCTTGAGGCAAAGAGTTTGAGAACAGCCTCAATGCCCACAAAGGAGATCCTAGCTCTACAAAAATAAAAAATTAGCCAGGTGTGGTAGCGCATGCCTGTAGTCCCAGCTGGTTTGGGAGGCTGAGGTGGGAGCACAATTTGAGCCTGGGAGGTGAGGGCTGCAGTGAGCCGTAATCCCTGCACTTCCTGGGTGACAGAGTAAGATCCTGTCTCAAAAAAAAGAACACAGGGTTTTTTTAGCGATAATTTGTTCTAAGAGGAACATACTACTACATTCATGTTATCAGTGATGGTTTCCAGTCTCAACTTTTGAATATTTTTTTCCAAGCGTGTGTGTGTGTGGCCAATATTCATTATGTGTTTCTCTCTTTGTGAGAGACAGGGCTGTTTAATGATTCATTCATTCATTCATTCATTTAGAGGAGTTCTTGCTGTATTGCCTGAGGCAATCGATCCTCCGGCGCAGCCTCTAGTAGCTGGGATTGGTACACCACCGAGAACCAGCTTTTAGAATTTGGCTTATTTGTTTCAGGGAAGCCAAGTAAAACTTGACTTTTTACAAGTAAATGACAATTTAAAAATAAAAAAAAGAAACTATTCAGGTTCTCTGGTTAATCCATAAAAAACCATATAACTCGTAATGAGATACTACTAGTACTTTCTACCTAAATAGCAGTCACCCAGCAGATAAATTCCATTCTCCAAATCATCAGGAAACAGATTACTATTATTATTATTATTACTATTATTATTTTTGAGACAGAGTCTTCTTTGCCTTCGCCAAGAGTGAAACTTGAGTGTAGTGGAGTGATCTTTGATCACTGCAAGCTCTGCCTCCCAGGTTCACACCATTCTCTTGCCTCAGCCTCCTGAGTACCTGGAACTACAGATGTCCGCCACTCGCGGCTAATTTTTTTGTATTTTTTGGTACAGACGGGGTTTCACTGTATTAGCCAGGATGCTCTCGATCTCCTGAGCTGGTGATCCGCCTGCCTCGGCCTCCCAGAGTGCTGGGATTACAGGCGTGAGCCACCGCCCTAGCCTGATTATTGTCCACTGGAAAGGGGGTCTCCCCTAGCCTTTGTAGCAAGGCAATTTCTTCAGGAATTAAAAATAGGCTTCTGCCATTCAACTACTACTGAATGTTTTAAAGCAACAAAGAAAGGTAAATCAATTACACTCTACCACTCTTTTTCACTATTTAGCATCTATCTGTTTATAGAGAACTTTATTTTATTTTATTTTTTTTTTGAGGCGAGTCTTGCTCTGTATCTCCCAGGCGGGGGATTCAGTGGCACGATCTTGGCTTACACCTCCACCTCCCGGGTTCACGCCATTCTCCTGCCTCTGCCTCCCAGGTAGCTGGGACTACAGGTGCCCACCACCACGCCTGGCTAATTTTTGTATTTTTAGTAGAGGCGGGGTTTCACCGTGTTAGCCAGGATAGTCTTGATCTCCTGACCTCGTGATCCGCCCGCCTCGGCCTCTCAAGTGCTGGGATTACAGGCGCCCAGGCCACCGCCCTCAGCCTTTATTTCTTTAAGAGATAGGTTCATAGAGATGGTGGCTCACACCTGCTCATCCAGCCCTTTTGGGAGGCGGGCGGCGCGGCTGCGAGGTCAGGGGCTGGGACCATCACAGCACATGGTGAAACCTGTCTCTACTAAAAATACAAAAAGTACCAAAGTGGTGGTGAAACCTGTAGTCCCAGCTACTGCGGAAGCTGAGGCAGGAGAATGCGTCTTGAGGCCAGGCTGCAGTGAGCAGAGACAGCGCCACTGCACTGCAACCTGGGCGACAGTGAAACTCTGTCTCAAAAAAAAAAAAAAAAGAGCAGAGTCTCACTTTGCACCCAGGCTGGAATGCAGTGTCATGTTCCTGGCTCACTGCAATCTCTAACTCCTGAGCTCAAGCAAGCCTCTTGCCTCAGCCTCCCAAATGAACAGGAATACAAAGACATGCCACCACACCTGGCTAATTTTTCTTTTTTTTTGGAGACAGAGTCTTGCTCTGTTGCCCAGGATGGAGTGCAATGGTGCCATCTTGGCTCACTGCAACCTCCACCTCCCAGGTTCAAGTGATTCTTGTGCCTCAGCCTCCCAAATAGCTGGGACTACAGGTGTGCACCACTACACCTGGCTAATTTTTTGTATTTTAGTGGACACCCAGGTTTCACCCGTTGCAGGGTGGTCCTGAACTCCTGAGCTCAGGCAATTCACCTGCCTCGGCCTCCCAAAATACTGGGGATTACAGGTGGCAGATCACATTGCAGCCGACCCTGGCTAATTTTTAACTTTTTATGAGGCAGTATCTCATTATACTGCCCAGGCTTTGGTCTCAAACTCCTGGCCTCAAGTGATCCTCCCACATCAGCCTCCCAAAATGCTAGAATTATAGGCATGCCTGGCCTATACTGGACATTTAAACATCAAAGCTAATGCTATACAATTATTAAAATGTCACTGGGGAAGCAATGGCACAGAGTCTCCTAGTTCCCACACAACAAATATCAACTGCAATATAAACTAAAATCCACAGACAACACATGTAACAAATAAGTGACAAAATGGTCTCATGATTTCCAAAACATGAGGCAGAGGCAGCGCAGTGGAGTCACGCCTGCAAATCACAGCACTGTGGGAGGTGGATCACCTGAGTTGAGGATTCGAGACCAGCCTGACGAACATGGAGAAACCCTATCTTTACTAAAAATACAAAAAAAAATTAGTTTGGGCATGGTGGTGGTGTACCTGTCATCAGCTACTTGGAAGACTGAAAGCAAGGAGAATCACTTGAACCGGGAGGCAGAGGTTGTGGTAGGCCAAGATCTCACCATTGCACTCTAGTCTAGGCAACAAAGGCAAAACTCTTTGTCAAAAAAACAAAAAAAAAACAAAAGAAAACACTTAGGCAGGAAGGATAAATTCTTGCCTTATCTACAGAAATTTGCTAGTCCTAAGAGCAAATGCGATTCAGGGGACCCTAGTGTTTCCAGGTCACATCTTGAAAGCAATGAAGAAGCTACCTGGAAGGCGTATTCTCAAATTGTTGTGTAGCTGAGCCTGGGAGGATTTTGCTATACTTGAGGTGATTGTGAGGCCAGGTTAAGGTCTGCGGGGGGACTGGGAGCAAGCTGGGCCCTATATAAACTTTCTAAACTAACAGCCAGTACTGTGAGACCGGCCCATACCAAGGAGAAACTGCTGGACAGAGGATCTAAACTAAGGATGCCAAGAATAACAGGATCAAAGGAAAAAAATGCAGAGAAAAGTGAGAAAGACACAGCTAGAGCTCAGAAAGTAGACCTTGTTTAAAACAGCTTTACTCAGATATAATTTACAGACTATGTATAGCATAACAAAAATAACAGAAGCAGCTCTAGAGCTGTGGCCTTGATATTCTCACCAATGCCTTCCCATCTACAGCTCAAAAATTTACTTAATCTAAAAATGACAACAAGAAAGATCACACTCAAAATCACAGAGAAAGTAATTAGGAAGGAAAAAGAGGAAACAGAATAGAAGCTGGGAGCAGAGCAGCACACCTGTAATCCCAGTTACTCAGGAGCTGATGAGAGGGGATCCCTTAAGGCCAGGAGTTAGAGGCTGCAATGTGCAGTTCCGTGTCTGTGAATAGCCAGGCCTCAACACTGGCAACATGGTGGGTCCTGTCTCTTAAAAAAAAAACAATTTTGGCAGACACGGTGGTTTCACGCCACTGTATTATGCTGGGAGAGCCTAGGCGGGTGGATCATTTGAGGTCAAAGGTTCTAGGAGACCAGCCCTGGCCAACATGAAGTAAATTTATCTCTACTAAAAATACAAAAATTAGCTGGGCGTGGTGCCGGTGCCTGTAATCCCAGCTATACGGAGGCTGAGGCAGGAGAATTCACTTGAACCTGGGAGGCAGAGTGCAGTGAGCTGACATCACACTGCTGCACTCCAGCATAGGTCACAGAGATTGGCTCCGTCTCACCAAAAAAAAAAAAAAGCAGACTATCTCCACCCAATAAAGTGATCTAGAAAAGCTCATCCACAAAACAAATAAAAGCATACCATTTTGAATGAACTCAAACAAACATATATGGCCGGGCATGGTGGCTCTTCCTGTAATCCCAGTCCTTAGGAAGCTGAGGCAGGCCGGATCACTTGAGGTTAGCAGTTACGAGACCAGCACAGCCAGCATGGTGAAACCCCATCTACCAAATATACAAAAATTAGCCGGGTGTGGTGGTGCATACCTGTAATCCCAGCTACTCGGGAGGCTGGGGCATAAGAATCACTTGAACCTAAGGAGGAGGCTGCAGTGAGCCGAGGATCTCACCACTGCACTCCAGCCTGGGTGATGGGGGTGAAACTGTGTCTCAAAAAAAAATAAAATATACATATATATCATATATTGGCTGGGCACAGTGGCTTTCAACCTATAATCCCAGCACTTTGGGAAACAGAGAGGCAGTAGATCGTTTGAGCTCAGGATTGACAGCAGCCTGGGCAACTCAGAGAGATCCATCTCAGCAAAAATAAAAACTTAGCCAGACATGGTAGCACGTACCCTGTAGTCTCAGGTACTTAGGAGGCTGAAGTGGAGGATCACTTGAACCTGGGAGGTGAAGGCTGCAGTGAGCCAAGATCATGCCACTGCACTCCAGCCTGGGTGACAGAGACACCATCTCAGAAAAAATTATATATATAAAATATATATATTAAATATATAAATATTAGTTTTTAAATTATATATATATAACACACACACAAAGACGATTTTTATTTTTATTTTTTTTAGAGAAGGTCATACTCAGCTGGGTGGCATTGGCTCACCTGTAATCCCAGCACTTTGGGGCCGAGGCGGTTGGATCACGAGGTCAGGAGTTTGAGGACCAGCCTGGCCAATATGGTGAAACCCTGTCTCTACTAAAAATACAAAAACTAGCAAGGGTGTAGTGGCACCGCCTGTGAGTCCCAGCTACTCAGGAGGCTGAGGCAGGAGAATCGCTTGAACCCAGGAGGCCGAGGTTGCAGTGAGCCGAGATTGTACCACTACACTCAAGCCTGGGCAAACAGAGGGAGACTCTCAAAAAAAAAAAAAAAGTCCGGGTGACTCTATCTGTCATCCAGAATAGAGTACAACATCATGATCATAGCTCATTAGCAACCTCCTAGCTCCTGGACTCATGAAGTTCTCCTCAGCCTCCCAAGTAGCTGGGACTACAGGCACACACCACCACCTCTGGCTAATTTTTAATTTTTTTTGTAGAGACAGGAGTCTTATACGTTGCCCAGGTTTGTCTTGAACTCCTGAAACAAAACTAATCCTCTGGCTTAGCCTCCTAGAGTGCTGAGATTATGAGTGTGAAGCCACCATGCCTGCTAAAAGAAAATTTTAATGCTGTAGTGAAGAATAAAATCAAATTAAGAAAAATTTTCAGTTTTCAATGAGATAAAATAATTCAAAGAAGAAACAAAATAAAGATAACTACAAATGAAGACTATACGAGAAAGAGTAAAAGACCGAATAAACACAACAGATTTCTTAAAAATGGGAAATTTTGAGGCATGTGTAGTGGTGCATGCCACCTACAGTCAGCTACAGGGCTCAAAGCTATCAAGTGCCACGTTACATCTGTAGATAGCCCTGCCTCCATGTGAGCAACTGCTTACCGGCATTGGTTGGCTGGGGCGCGATCCTGTCTCTGCCAAAAAAAAAAAAGAGAAATTTTGAAAACTGAATGAGAAAAGATGAAAAGATTTGATGCTGACAAAGGAGATTGAAAAATAACATATAACAAGTCCTTAAAGAAGAAAACCAAAGCAACTGAAAGGAAACCAAAGCGCTAAAAATGCGTAATTCAAGAAAATTTTGATAAAACTTTTAAAAAATACATATGAAACTACAAATTGAAAGTGCACACTGAGTACCCAAGAAAACTGACAAAAACACCACCCAAAATATATTCTAGTAAAACTACTGATTTTAAAGAAATCAACGAAAAAGATTTTAAGAAAATCACATATAAGGAAAAAGATTAGACTGGCATCTCACTTTTATAGCGAAGTCTTTATTCCAAAAACAGTAAAGTAACATACCTAAGACAATGAAGAAAAAGAAAATGTAGACAAAATTTTATATACAGCCAAAATAATTTTTCAGGTATAAAGTCACATGTAAGATATTATCAATAGAGCAGTACCTGTTTCCATAAGCCCTTTCTCCAAGAATCTACCCAATAACAAGTCACAAACAAAAATGACTGGAGACACTATACCCAATAACAAGTCACAAACAACAAAAATGACTGGAGACACTGACGTAAGGACTGACGGCACTGATTATTGGTGGATGTTAGCATCACAAAAAGAACTAGACATATATATCTCCTGCCAGAAGTACACCACCTATGAAGTAGTTCTGCCCTAAACAAACAAACAAACCTGAATATTCAGAAAATATAGAAGACAGAGGAACATGTTAAATGACATCATGGGGAAGCAATACTCTAGATTTATGACAATGTAGTTTCTTAAACAAAAAAAGCTATAAAAAATACATAAAGGAGTAATCCATATATTAAAAGCAACTTAAAAATCACACAATGTAAAAATCTGGCCGGGCGCGGTGGCTCAAGCCTGTAATCCCAGCACTTTGGGAGGCCGAGACGGGCGGATCACGAGGTGAGGAGATCGAGACCATCCTGGCTAACACGGTGAAACCCCGTCTCTACCAAAAAATACAAAAAACTAGCTGGGCAAGGTGGCGGGCGCCTGTAGTCCCAGCTACTCGGGAGGCTGAGGCAGGAGAATGGCCTGAACCCGGGAGGCGGAGCTTGCAGTGAGCTGAGATCCGGCCACTGCACTCCAGCCCCGGCGGCAACAGAGCAAGACTCGTCTCAAAAAAAAAAAAAAAAAACCCTCTTATTTGGACCCAGATTCAAGAAAACAAACAATAAAAGAAAATAAATATTTCTAAGACAATTGATAATGTAAAATTAATATTTTGAAATATTAATTTTTTAGAAGTGATAACAGTATTGTTGGGTTTTTTTTTTAAATCCTTTTCTTTCAGAGATACATATCCAAACATTTATGGATATAATAATATGGTACCTAGGGTTTGCATCAAAATAATTCTGAAAGAGGAGGTAGGTTAGCATATAGATAAAATAATTATTGAAGCTGGAGGATGAATACATAGGGGTTCCTTATATGATTCTATCAACTTTTGTACATGTTTGACATTTTCCATAAAAGGTTATTTCTTTTTTTTTTTTTTTTTTGAGACAGAGTCTCACTCTGTCATCCAGGCTGGAGTGTAGTGGCATGATCTCAGCTTAACACAACCTCCAACCCTGGGTTCAAGCGATTCTCCTGCCTCAGCCCCCTGAGCAGCTGGGATTACAGGCACCCACCACCACACCGGCTAATTTTTATATTTTTAGTAAAGATGGTTTCACCATGCTGACCAGGCTGGTCTTGAATTCTTGACCTCAGGCGATCCACCTGCCTTGGCCTTCCAAAGTGCTGGATTACAGCCGTGAGCCACCGCACCCAGCCAAAAGATATTTTTTGAAAAAGAAAAAGACACATGGATTTAGTATTCTGATTTATTAATTTAATAAAAATTTGCAGTTTTATAACACAACTCTAAAATATTACCCTCTCTTACCCATAGAAATTCATTTTGTTTCAACTTTTATATTTTCCAGATCACATTTTCAGTCTTAAAAAAAAATGATAAAATCTGATCGAGGTCAGGTGTGATGGCTCACACCTGTAATCCCAGCACTTTGGCAGGCCACAAGGCCGGGGCGGGGTCAGGGGGAATTGCTTGAGCCCAGGAGTTCAAGACCAGCCTGGGCTACATGGTGAAATCTCATCTCTACAAAATACGCAAAAAATTAGCTGGGCATTGTGGCACACACCTGTAGTCCCAGCTACTCAAAGAGGCTGGGGTGGGAGAATCACCTGAGCCCAGGAAGTCAAGAATGCAGTGAGCCATGACTGTCCCACTGCACTCCAGCCTGGGCATAACAGGGAGACCCTGTCTCAAGACAGACAAACAAAACTGATAAAATCTATCCTGACTTACCAGGTCACAGGATTACAGGTGTGAGCAACCACACCTAGCCTTACAACTCAATTTTGAGAATGACTATCAAATCTGGTCCACAAAGGACAATATAATTTTCGTTCAGTGATTCATCCCCATAATTTCAATTACAGAAAGCATGAAAAAAAGACTTACCTGTTTTATGTGTGGATTCATGGCCATTTCAGTTACATTCTTTTTGGTCTCACAGAAAACAATAGCCCTCCCTTCAGACCCACTGTAGACTTGAAGGACATCTCTAATAACTGCCGGCCTCTGAGACCAATGACACTGGATGGCCAAATGCTTTGAAGAAAGAAAATATCACAGTATTTGTTTCATTAAAATTATTTTAAAATATTTCTCTTGTGTAGTTTTCTATCTGGTCAAGAACTAGCCTTCCTGGGAGACTGTAAGACAAAGACTCTCCTCAACAGCACTTAAAAACAATATAGACAAATGGACATCAATAAACTGATGAAAGAATAAACGAACTGCAGTATATTCAAACAGAATACCATTCAACAATTAAAAGAAACCAACTACTGATATACATGGAACAATATGAACCTTAAAAAAAATGCCGAATAAAGTCTTAACAGAAAATGAGCACACACAGTATAATTCCATTTATATGAAGTTCTAGAATAGGCAAAACCAATCAATTGCGGAAGAAAAATCAGAACAGTGGTTGTCTCTGAACCGGGGATACTCACTGGGAAGGGGCATGAGGGAACTTTCTAGAATGATGGCAATATTCAATATGGTGATAAGGGTTTGGGTTACACACATATGAATTTTTCAAAAATAGGCAAATGTACACAAGATTTTGCATTTCATTGTACATAATAAAAATTATAATATGAATGAACCTCAAAAACATTACGCTAAGTGAATGAAACGACATAAAAAGTCACATATTGTATGATTACATTTACAGTCACGCATTGCTTAATGACAGGGATACGTTCTGAGAAATGTATTGTTAGGCAGCTTCATCATTATGCAAATATCAGAGTGTACGCACACAAACCTAGGGTATAGCCTACTACACACACCTAGGCTATATGGTATGTCCTGTCGCTCCTAGGCTACAAACCTAAACAGCATGTTACTGTACTGAACACTGTAGGCAATAGTAAGTATGTGTGTCTCTAAACATATCTAAACACAGAAAAGGTACGGTAAGAACATGGCATAAAAGATAAAAACTGATACACCTGTATAGGACAGCTCCATTATAATCTTATGGGACCACCATCGAATATGTGCCACCGTATACATGGTCCATCACTGACCAAAACATTGGTATGCAGCACATGACTGTACACGAAATATCCAAAACAGGTATATCCATTGAGACAAAAAGCAGACAAGTGATTGACAGTGGATAAAGAAAGGAGGGAATGGAGGCTGGTAACAGTGGCTCACGCCTGTAATCCCAGCACTTTGGGAGGCCAAGGCCAGCAGATCACCTAAGGTCAGGAGTTCGAGACCAGCCTGGGAAACATAGTGAAACTCCATCTCTACTAAAAATACAAAAACTTAGTCATGGGCACCTGTAGTCCCAGCTATAACCGGGAGGTGGAGGTTGCGGTGAGCCAAGATCACGCCACTGAACTCCAGCCTGGGCAACAGAGCTAAACTCCATCTCAAAAAAAAAAAAAAAAAGGAAAAAGGAGGGAATGGGGAGTAACTGCTTACTGGTTGTGGGGTTTCCTTTTGGGGTGATGAAAATGTTTGGAACTAGATAGAAATGATGGCTGTACACTGTAAATGTACTACATAACACTGAATTGTACACTTTAAAATGGTTATTTTTAGTTATGTGAATTTTACCTCAATTTTAAAAACTGTAAATATGGCGTTCTACTTAAAGATATATATAGGCGGGGCATGGTGGCTCATGCCTGTAATCCCAGCACTTTGGGAGGCTGAGGCAGGTGGATCACCTGAGGTCAGGAGTTCAAACCAGCCTGGCCAATGTGGTGAAACCCCATCTCTACTAAAATACAAAAATTAGCTGGGCATGGTGGCAGGCGCCTGTAATCCCAGCTACTCAGGAGGCTGAGGCAGGAGAATTGCTTGAACCCCGGAGACAGAGGTTGCAGTGAGCCGAGACTGCGCCACTGCACTCCAGTCTGGGCGACAAGAAAACAAAAACAAAAACACAACATGAAAAAACAAGAAAATCCACCACATCTTTGAGTGATTTTAACAGTAAAAAAATAAAAATAAAAACCACAGGGATGCAAATCAACAAAACAGACTATGGGAAACTCATAAGACAAATGAGTTTTTCTGTTGTTTTTTTCTGAGACGGAGTCTCACACTGTCGCCCAGGCTAGAGTTCAGTGGCATGATCTCAGCTCACTGCAACCTCCAGCTCCCAGGTTCAAGCGATTCTCCTTTCTCAGCCTCCCAAGTAGCTGGGACTACAGACATGTGTTACCATGCCTTGCTAATTTTTATATTTTTAGTAGAGACAGGTTTTCACCACATCAGTCAGGCTGGTCTGAAACTCCTGACCTCAGGTGATCTACCAGCCTCGGCCTCCCAAAGTGCTGGGATTACAGGTGTGAGCCCACTGTGCCTGACCAACAAATGAGTTTTTCCAACAGAAAACTGCAAAGAAAAAGAAGGAACTATAGATTATAAAATGTTTAAGACTCATATCAATCAGTAGCAATGTAAGAATTGTATTTGGATCCAGATTCAAACAAGCTATTTAAAAAAGACAGCAATGGCAACGTGCACACTAGGTATTTAATGATATTAAAGAATTACTAGGCCAGGTGCAGTGGCTCACGCCTATAATCCCAGCACTTTGACAGACAGACCAAGGCAGGCAGGTCACATGAGGTCATGAGTTCGAGACCAGCCTGGCCAACATGGCGAAACCCCGTCTCTACTAAAAATACAAAAAATTAGCTGGGTGTGGTGTTGGGCACCTGTAATCCCAGCTACTTGGGAGGCTGAAGCAGAAGAATCGCTTGAACCAGGGAGGCAGAAGTTGCAGTGTGCTGAGATTATACCACTGCCTGGGCAACAAGAGTGAAACTCTTCTCAAAAAAAAAAAAAAAAAAAAAATTACTGTTTTTCTTCTACTGTGATAATGACTCTGGTTTTAAAGAGTCCTTAGTTATCATTTAGAAATATATACAATTACTTGATGAAATGATGACTGGGATTGTTTCAAATGCAGGGGTGAAGAAAAGATCATTGTTAAAGACTGGTAATAGGTAATGTGTTCTTTATACTGTTCAATCTTTCTATTCAATTTACTATTCAATTTTATATGTTTGAAAATGTCCTTATCAATGTTTTTTTACTGACATATCTTACATTCTTACTGCAAAACTTTCAACCATTACAAAATATACAAGCTTCTTTTTTAGTCTTACTATTTTTTTTTTTTTTAGACAGTCTCAATCTGTTGCCCAGGCTGGAGTGCAGTGGTACGATCTCAGCTCACTGAAACCTCCATCTCCGTCTCAAAACAACAACAACAACAACAACAAAACCACATACCTTTCAGAAGCTTTATAGTCTCTTCAGAAATAGGAAAACTGGAGAAGGCTCCTTCTTTCTGTTCACATGTTAAGGTCTGTAAAAATGAAATCAATGGCCTAAATAATATAATTTATATTCAACTCTTCTTCATTTACTGTTTTTAATTTTGTACAGATTCACTTACAAGGAAACTTAGTGGAACACTCTTTTTTTTCTTTTTTTTTTTGAGACAGGGTCCCACTCTGTTGCCCAGGTTGGAGAGCAGTGGGACCATCACAGCTCACTGTGGCCTCAACCGCCAGGCTCAAATCCTTCCCACCTCAGCCTTCCAAGTAGCTAGGACCACAGGCGCACACACCACCATGCTCATTTAGTTTTTTATTTTTCGTAGAAACAGGGTCTCACCATGTTACCCAGGCTGGTCTGAAACTCCTGGCCTCAAGAGATCCTCTTGGCCAGGCGCAGTGGCTCATGCCTGTAATCTCAGCACTTTGGGAGGCTGAGGCAGGTGGATCACCTGAGGTCAGGAGTTCAAGACCAGCCTGACCAACACGGAGAAACTCTGTCTCTACTAACAATACAAAATTAGCCAGGTGTGGTGGCGCATGCCTGTAATCCCAGCTACTCAGGAGGCTGAGGCAGGAGAATCGCTTGAACCCAGGAGGCGGAAGTTGTGATGAGCCGAGATCACGCCATTGTACTCCAGTCAGGGCAACAACAGAGAAACTCTGTCTCAAAAAAAAAAAAAAGAAAGATCCTCCCGCCTTGGCCTCCCAAACTGCTGGGATTACAAGCATAAGCCACTATGCCCAGCCAAAAAGGTTATTTATTAATCTAAATCATACAGATGTAGACAAAATTATAAAGATTAACACAAGCCCATAAACTAAGCTAAAAGAAATTACATAATGAGGAATGTAAAAGTTTTTCTGAAAATAAGTTAAAAATTTATTCTATAGCTTTTGAAAGCTTTTTTTATTTAGGTTGCTAATACAAAAGAAAGTTACTGTAAGCTTAAAGATTTCTTTAACATATATACAGGTTAGCATGATATCATTTAACATTTATTGAAAACTCTGTATACTAATGTGCACATAGAACAAAAACAGTATGTCTACCCAGTAAGCTTTATTGTTCATGTGTTTAAACACACACTAACAATTTCAAACTTGGAATTAGATAAAAAATAATTTCAAATTCAAATTGCATGCCATTTAAACAAACCTCAATGCTGCTGTTACCTTTTTATGATTTAAAAAAAATTACAAAAATAAACACTGTTGGCCAGGCATGGTGGCTCATGCCTGTAATTCCAGCACTTCGGGAGGCCAAGGTGGTACAATCACTTAAGCCCAGGAGTTCAAGACTAGCCTGGGCAACACAGTGAGACCCCGTCTCTACAAAACACAAACAAAAAATACGGCCGGGCACGGTGGCTCAAGCCTGTAATCCCAGCACTTTGGGAGGCCAAGATGGGTGGATGACGAGGTCAGGAGATCGAGACCATCCTGGCTAACACGGTTTATGGTGAAACCCGTCTCTACTAAAAAAAATACAAAAAACTAGGCGGGCGCCTGTAGTCCCAGCTACTCAGGAGGCTGAGGCAGCGTAAACCCGGGAGGCAGAGCTTGCAGTGAGCTGAGATCCAGCCACTGCACTCCAGCCGGGGCGACAGAGCGAGTCTCCGTCTCAAAACAAACAAACAAACAAACAAACAAAAAATACACTATCACTGTAGAAACTATTGAAACCGGTAAGGCCCAGTGGTTTATGTCTGTAATCCCAGCACTTCAGGAGGCCAAGGCTCAAGCAATCCTCCCATCTCAGCGTTCCAAAGTGCTAGGATTACAGGCATGAGCCACTGCGGCTAGCCACCAGAGCAGTATTCTAATAATGCTCCATTTCTTTTAGGTGGTATTCCAATCCGTTTCCAAATCTCTGGTTATCTTTCATAGTTAAAGGGCCGTCAACACGTATTTTCTGGAGAATTTACAATGTGAAAGCCACCAATTTACAACAATATAGTGAAACACAAGGATGGACAAAGATTTGGTCATTTTCCTCAAGAACTTTTCGGAAATATGTGGCATAATATAGGAAAAATGAACTAATTTTACATAGAAATGCATAACAAATGTCAATCAAATGATAAAGATAGCCACCGAAACTAGGTAACTGTACACTAGGGTTGTTAGGAAAGACATAAACTAGGCCTTGACGGGTGGACAGGATTTGGATGCAAAAGACAAGAATTTCAAAAGAAGCCTTTTTAAAAAATACCTGCTTGGTTTTCTGCTTACACTCTAGGTACCTTCAGTAGTCAAATTCACAGAGCGAAAGTAGAATGGTGGTTGCCGGGAGTGGAAGGAGAAAGGAATGAGAAGTGAGTGTTTAATGGGCACAGAGTTTCAGTCTGGGACAATGAAAAGTTCTGGAGATGGACGGCGGTGACAGCTGCAAAACGATGTAAATATATTTAATGTCACAGAGCTATATACTTAAAAATGGTTAAAATAATAAATGTTATGTATATTTTAGCACAATAAAAGTGTTAGCTGGAATGGCAAGTTTCCCTTAGTGATAAGGTCAGAGAGGTAGATTCTGCTTTCTAAGGCTATACAAAATAAGTCTCATTCTTTGAATGTCAGCCTCCGAATACTGCCACCTTAGCCTCTTCAGCTGATTTCTTTTTTCCAGGTCAAATGTCTCCAGTAATAATTTTACCTGGGCATTTTTCAGCACCTTGTGATCCTCTGAGTGTTTCAGGATGTTTTTTCCTTTTCCTTTTTTTTTTTTTTTTTTTTTGGAGGGCATGCAGGTGGGAGGAGGAAAGACTGCAACTCCCCTACAGGCTCCTTGAGAGCAGGGACTATTTCTTTACTTATTTAGTTTCACCTCCTTGGTGCTCAGCAAAGAGTATGGTACAAATCAGGTTTAAAAAACACCTGCAGATTGAATGAAAATACTGACCATAAAAGCTATTAATAATGCAACCCACACGATCTCCATCACTGACAAATCCTGGCAAGGCTCACTGTCACACTTTTCCTTAAGCCTCTATAGTTATTTAGGTTTGTAAACCTAAGATCGCTTTCCCCAGGATTCTTGCACAGGGGACAGGGTGACAGAAGCAACACATATTCAAAGCAATCATTTTTTCTTAATCATCTTCTAAGAGGGCCAATGAGAACAAAATGACAGGCGTCACTGCTTATGGAGAGAAAGAACAGATTCCACGGTGATGTGAGCTTGAGTCTGCCCATCTCCGAGATTCAGGCGCCAACGGGAAGGGCTTAGGGGCCACGCCGGGAGGAGGCCCAAGCCCAGGGCCATCTTTATCCGGGTCGGGAGTGTGGAGGTGGAAACGGTCCCTGAGCGACCTCAGAGAGCCGAGGGCGGCGCGAAGGGAGGCCCTCGCTTGCTCCGGCCCGGTTCTGACAGGCCATCATCAAGGACAGACAGTTCCCCTCCCCGCCCAAGCCGGCGCAGCCCAAAAGGAGGCGCGGCCCATGCTCAGCGCACCTTTTGCCTCTCCTTCTTCTGGCTCTCGGACTCCTCCAAGGGTGCTTCCAGCTCCATAATGTCCCCCCAGAGGAGTTTCCCAGGCATTACTGGGCACCACCGCCTCCCTCCGGGCACAGTGGCCACAACCACCTACGGGCAGCGACAGCGTGAAAAGGAGCAGGGGCAGGGCGGCCGCCAGGACTTGGACGTGCGCCACCTCCGGGACACGCACCGCACGGGGGGAAAAAATAATCCCGGATACTCTCGGTTTAAGTCCTTCCATTGCGCCGCAACCTCTCAACCAATGTGTGTGAGAGATCTCAACTGTCCCACCCTTGTTATGAAGTGATTGGCTACTAGAGTAAAGCCCTGGCCAATCTCCACAAAGGAAGCACGCACTGATCAGCATAAATAGTTCGGTTTATCTTCCCCTCCCCCACTCTGAACTGGTCTCCTCGGCCGCGCAGAGCCTCTTGGGGGCTTCCCAGTGTTCACTGTTAGGGCTGGGAAGCCCTTCGACGTGGGTAGACACTGTCCAGCGCGCGGTGGGCGGGTGCGGGGGCAGGCCCTCCCTGACGCCAGTGGGCACCGCCACGCGCCGCCTAGCTATTTGCCTCCGGAAGCTGAACCCCTCCGCCCCGCCCATTGTGGGGGAGATGTTAACGACCAACGGCTTCGCGCGAGGCCACGGGCCTGGCGACGGTGGAGAGGGTATTGGCGCAGTTTGCGGTGGGCCAGATGGGCCGGAGGTGTAGCCGGGAACGGACAGATGTCCGTCCCTGAAGTCTTAAGTTTTAATCGTGAAGTTAGTCCCTGGTTCATTGTGATCCTTTTCTCGCTGTCCGTTTGACATAAGAAGAAACCCGAGAAAGGAATATATTTGTCTGAAGTCCCACAGTCTGTTAGTGGCACAGTCAGGACTAGAAAATTTAGCTCCTGAAGCCGAGATCAGTGCTTTCTCTGCCACATCAACCTGAAAACTTTTGAGTTTTGCAATGTTTTGGGGAAGATGCTCCCATGAAACAATGAACAGGAAAAACCTGAGGAAGCCTCACATTTTCTGCTAGCGAGAAAAGCCAAAATGTCTTCCACAGAATATCTATTTGCAGCGAATGAAAAAGGATTTAATTTTAGTGATGGGGATTAACTCCCCGTGAATCACAACCTTACACAAAACTGAAACCTTTGACAAACAAATGGTAACTTCCTTAGTGTGTTTGTATACCTTTGCTTACTATCACCGAGGCTAGCTAGTTGCCTTTTCACAGTCATTTCCTCATCTCTTCATGATCCTTGCGACCCAGCTACTCTACCCAATGGAGACATAGGGCTACTCATAAACCTCTTGATAACGTCTGGCACACCAGCCTTAAAACCTAAGCATCAAACTGTGTCCTAGCAAAATTAGAAATTGTTACATGTCGTGGAGTTTGGGAATTGGTCCTGAACAGCTGGAACCAGAAATGTTAAATTTGTGATTTTTTCAAGCCTTCTGCATAACTACGGCTTGGCCTGAAGGCAAGGGCTATATGTTTGCATGTAACTTTGTGTATTCAATACTTACAAGCAGAAGGAGTGTTCAGCTATTGATGACGGAGAAACGTACCTCTCTTCCTAGGTTATTAGGAGAATAGCTATGCATCTCTAGATCTGCGGTTTTCTACATCCTTTTGTCCTAATCCCTCAACCTACTGCCAATTCTACCATAGTAGGATCTTTATCGCCCTACAACAGGGTATGATGATGTGCATAAAAACACAGTGTAGGCCGAGCACCGTGGCTCACGCCTGTAATCCCAGCACTTTGGGAGGCCAAGGTGGGTGGATTAACTGAGGTCAGGAGTTCGAGACCAGCCTGACCAACATGGAGAAACCCCGTCTCTACTAAAAATACAAAATTAGCCGGCCATAGTGGCGCATGCCTGTAATCCCAGCTACTCAGGAGGCTGAGGCAGGAGAATCGCTTGAATCTGGGAGGCGGAGGTTTCTGTGAGCTGAGAGGGTGCCACTGTACTCCAGCCTGGTCAACAAGAGTGAAACTCTGCCTCAAAGAAGAAAAAAACCAAAAAAACAAAAAAACACTGTAAATATGGCTAAGAATGCCGCACGTAAAATTGAGATAAAAGGAACAGATGTTATTGTCCTGTGGTTGAAGGTTAATAACAGATGAAGTAAAAGTTGAGCTCCTGAGCACTCTGGCATTCATTTGTATGTCAGAGGTCCTAAGAGTGGGCCTGAAAAAAGAAAGGAGTAGATTGTTCAAATCTCCCTATTCAAGTGATTAACAAGTATATGAGTGTTTCAGAATGACCTTCTGTCACTTGCAGCACTACAAACTCTGCCTTTCTAAGCCCTAAATTCACTGAACCAAATCTCTGGCTGCTGTCTGGGTCAGGTGGAAAGGGCGAGTATAAACTGATGTGTCAGTAATTTGACCAAGGAGTGGCTTAGCTGAAAAAAAATATGTACCACATTACATTTGTGTTCTCTGGGGATATCATTTTGCCTCAGTCAACTAGAAAACGTAGGAATGGGATGCAGGAATGGAGAACTTTGTTTTCTTCATATTTGCTCCCTCTGTAAATCTCAAGAGTTTGTGTCTAATGAGATTTGGGGTTGGGGGAGGCATACTGTGCATGAATAATTAAAATGCACAATAATTCAAGATACAGTCTTATTAGAACATCTTTATTTTCCAAACATCTTACCAGAGTACTAATATACTTTCTTTTAAAAACTTAAGAGTTGGGTGCTTCAATTGCTACTACTGTTACAAGGTCCTATAAAGATTTCCCTTGCCCTTTGCCTCAGCTTGTTTAAACTGACCATTAAGATATAAAAAGAAAAGGGCCGGGCGCGGTGGCTTACGCCTGTAATCCCAGCACTTTGGGAGGCCAGGGCGGGCGGATCACCTGAGGTCGGGAGTTCCAAGACTAGCCTGACCAACATGGAGAAACCCTGTCTCTACTAAAAATAGGAAATTAGCCAGGCATGGTGGCACATGCCTGTAATCCCAGCTACTCCGGAGGCTGAGGCAGGAGAATCGCTTGAACCTTGGAGGTAGAGATTGCGGTGAGCCGAGATCAAGCCATTGCACTCCAGCCTGGGCAACAAGAAATTCCGTGTCAAAAAACAAAAAACAAAAAAACATACACACACACACACACACACACACACACACACACACACACACACGATGACTATTTCCAAACTTGCCTCTCTCTAATCTTTTTAGAACTACAGGGCTAGATTAGTTTTACTCTGTAGAGAGTTGAAGGTAAAAGTCATCAAATAACCATTTTGCATCTGCACGTCAATCTTATGTGACAAAAGGAATTGAACCTTTTACTTTATCCCCAGCAGCTTTGTCATGAACCATCATTTTTAAATGCTGTGACATGGAAATAGTTTAAGGGGCAGTTAAAAACTGATTTAAGACACACTGGGGTCACAAAATAAGTGTTGAGTGTGGAAAAGCAGAAAGTAAAGGCAAAGAGAATAGGAGGGAAGGAGGAGGGTATTTTTACTATTGCCATGGGACCTAAACCAAGTCAGTTCTTTTTTTTTTTGAGAGGGAGTCTGAGTCTGGCTCTGTGGCCCAGGCTGGAGTGCAGTGGCCGGATCTCAGCTCACTGCAAGCTCCGCCTCCCGGGTTCACGCCATTCTCCTGCCTCAGCCTCCCGAGTAGCTGGGACTACAGGCGCCTGCCACCTCGCCCGGCTAGTTTTTTTTTGTATTTTTTAGTAGAGACGGGGTTTCACCATGTTAGCCAGGCTGGTCTCGATCTCCTGACCTCGTGATCCGCCCGTCTCGACCTCCCAAAGTGCTGGGATTACAGGCTTGAGCCACCGCGCCCGGCCCCAAGTCAGTTCTAAAATCTTGCTAGTAAAGTGAGGACAGTAATGCTGGTAGCACAGGAATTGGATCCGCTGATATAACAGCACCATGGAACTGAGGTACAGAGGTGCTTACATTAGCTTGAGGTTTTGACAGCATTGGAAAAGAGACATCTTTGAGCACATTTATCATATGTACATTTATGCATGTATCTAGCTCCTAAATTCAGACTTTTAAATGATTTTTTAAGTGCTTAACCTTTAGTCTCATTGTTTCTGTAGTTAATTACTTTCTGGATGTTTTGAACCAAGTAGTAGGAGAGAGGGTTTCAGAGTCATATCAGTCTTCCCAGAAGAGGGCACCATTATCCAAGTA